GCTGTGTCGTGGTTGAGGTGGTGCTGTGTCGTGGTTGAGGTGGTGCTGTGTCGTGGTTGAGGTGGTGCTGTGTTGTGGTTGAGGTGGTGCTGTGGTGTTGTTGTAGTGGTGCTGTGTTGTGGTTGAGGTGGTGCTGTGTTGTGGTTGAGGTGGTGCTGTGTCGTGGTTGAGGTGGTGCTGTGGTGTTGTTGTAGTGGTGCTGTGGTGTTGTTGTGGTGGTGCTGTGTTGTGGTTGAGGTGGTGCTGTGTCGTGGTTGAGGTGGTGCTGTGTTGTGGTTGAGGTGGTGCTATTTTGTGGTTGAGGTGGTGCTGTGGTGTTGTTGTAGTGGTGCTATGTTGTGGTTGAGGTGCTGCTGTGGTGTTGTTGTAGTGGTACTGTGTTGTGGTTGAGGTGGTGCTGTGTTGTGGTTGAGGTGGTGCTGTGTCGTGGTTGAGCTGGTGCTGTGTTGTGGTTGAGGTGGTGCTATTTTGTGGTTGAGGTGCTGCTGTGGTGTTGTTGTAGTGGTGCTGTGTTGAGGTTGAGGTGCTGCTGTGGTGTTGTTGTAGTGGTGCTATGTCGTGGTTAAGGTGGTGCTGTGGTATACTGTGGTTGAGGTGGTGCTGTGGTATACTGTGGTTGAGGTGGTGCTGTGGTATACTGTGGTTGAGGTGGTGCTGTGTTTCTCTGTAGTTGAGGTGGTGCTGTGTTGTTCTGTAGTTGAGGTGATGCTGTGTTGTTCTGTAGTTGAGGTGGTGCTGTGTTGCTCTGTAGATGACCTGGTGCTGTGTTGTTCTGTAGTTGAAGTGGTGCTGTGTTGATCTGTAGTTGAGGTGGTGCTGTGTTTCTCTGTAGATGACCTGGTGCTGTGTTGCTCTGTAGTTGAGGTGGTGCTGTGTTGATCTGTAGTTGAGGTGGTGCTGTGTTGCTCTGTAGTTTAGGTGGTGCTGTGTTTCTCTGTAGTTGAGGTGGTGCTGTGTTGCTCTGTAGTTGTGGTGATACTGTGTTGATCTGTAGTTGTGGTGGTGCTTTGTTGTTCTGTAGTTGAGGTGATGCTGTGTTGCTCTGTAGTTGAGGTGGTGCTGTGTTGCTCTGTATTTTTGGTGATGCTATGTTGCTCTGTAGTTGAGGTGATGCTGTGTTGTTGTTGTAGTGGTGTTGTGGTGTTGTTGTTGTAGTGGTGCTGTGTTATGGTTGAGGTGGTGCTGTGTTGTGGTTGAGGTGGTGCTGTGGTGTTGTAGTTGTGGTTGAGTTGGTGCTGTGGTCTTGTTGTAGTGGTGCTGTGTTGTTGTTGTAGTGGTGCTGTGGTGTTGTAGTTGTGGTTGAGGTGGTGCTGTGGTGTTGTTGTTGTCGTGCTGTGTTGTTGTTGTGGTGCTGTGTTGTTGTTGTGGTGCTGTGTTGTTGTTGAGGTGGTGCTGTGGTCTTGTTGTAGTGGTGCTGTGTTGTGGTTGTGGTGGTGCTGTGTTGTGGTTGAGATGGTGCTGTGGTGTTGTTGTAGTGGTGTTGTTGTGGTGGTGCTGTGTTGTGGTTGAGGTGGTGCTGTGTCGTGGTTGAGGTGGTGCTGTGTCGTGGTTGAGGTGGTGCTGTGTCGTGGTTGAGGTGGTGCTGTGTCGTGGTTGAGGTGGTGCTGTGTTGTGGTTGAGGTGGTGCTGTGGTGTTGTTGTAGTGGTGCTGTGTTGTGGTTGAGGTGGTGCTGTGGTGTTGTTGTAGTGGTGCTGTGGTGTTGTTGTAGTGGTGCTGTGTTGTGGTTGAGGTGGTGCTGTGTCGTGGTTGAGGTGGTGCTGTGGTGTTGTTGTAGTGGTGCTGTGGTGTTGTTGTGGTGGTGCTGTGTTGTGGTTGAGGTGGTGCTGTGTCGTGGTTGAGGTGGTGCTGTGTTGTGGTTGAGGTGGTGCTATTTTGTGGTTGAGGTGGTGCTGTGGTGTTGTTGTAGTGGTGCTATGTTGTGGTTGAGGTGCTGCTGTGGTGTTGTTGTAGTGGTACTGTGTTGTGGTTGAGGTGGTGCTGTGTTGTGGTTGAGGTGGTGCTGTGTCGTGGTTGAGCTGGTGCTGTGTTGTGGTTGAGGTGGTGCTATTTTGTGGTTGAGGTGCTGCTGTGGTGTTGTTGTAGTGGTGCTGTGTTGAGGTTGAGGTGCTGCTGTGGTGTTGTTGTAGTGGTGCTATGTCGTGGTTAAGGTGGTGCTGTGGTATACTGTGGTTGAGGTGGTGCTGTGGTATACTGTGGTTGAGGTGGTGCTGTGGTATACTGTGGTTGAGGTGGTGCTGTGTTTCTCTGTAGTTGTGGTGATGCTGTGTTGTTCTGTAGTTGAGGTGATGCTGTGTTGTTCTGTAGTTGAGGTGGTGCTGTGTTGCTCTGTAGTTGAGGTGGTGCTGTGTTTCTCTGTAGTTGAGATGGTGCTGTGTTTCTCTGTAGTTGAGATGGTGCTGTGTTTCTCTGTAGTTGAGGTGATGCTGTGTTGCTCTGTAGTTTAGGTGATGCTGTGTTGCTCTGTAGTTGAGATGGTGCTGTGTTTCTCTGTAGTTGAAGTGTTGCTCTGTAGTTGAGGTGATGCTGTGTTGTTGTTGTAGTGGTGCTGTGTTATGGTTGAGGTGGTGCTGTGTTGTGGTTGAAGTGGTGCTGTGGTGTTGTAGTTGTGGTTGAGGTGGTGCTGTGGTGTTGTTGTAGTGGTGCTGTGTTGTTGTTGAGGTGGTGCTGTGTTGATCTGTAGTTGAGGTAATGCTGTGTTGCTCTGTAGTTATGGTGATGCTGTGTTGCTCTGTAGTTGAGGTGGTGCTGTGTTTCCCTGTAGTTGTGGTGGTGCTGTGTTGTTCTGTAGTTGAGGTGGTGCTGTGTTGCTCTGTAGTTGAGGTGGTGCTGTGTTTCTCTGTAGTTGAGATGGTGCTGTGTTTCTCTGTAGTTGAGGTAGTGCTGTGTTGTTGTTGTAGTGGTGTTGTGGTGTTGTTGTAGTGGTGCTGTGTTATGGTTGAGGTGGTGCTGTGTTGTGGTTGAGGTGCTGCTGTGGTGTTGTTGTAGTGGTGCTATGTCGTGGTTGAGATGGTGCTGTGATATACTGTGGTTGAGGTGCTGCTGTGTTGTTGTTGAGGTGGTGCTGTGTTGATCTGTAGTTGAGGTGATGCTGTGTTCTCTGTAGTTGTGGTGGTGCTGTGTTGCTCTGTAGTTGAGATGGTGCTGTGTTGCTCTGTAGTTGAGGTGATGCTGTGTTGCTCTGTAGTTGAGGTGATGCTGTGTTGTTGTTGTAGTGGTGTTGTGGTGTTGTTGTTGCAGTGGTGCTGTGTTATGGTTGAGGTGGTGCTGTGTTGTGGTTGAGGTGGTGCTGTGGTGTTGTAGTTGTGGTTGAGTTGGTGCTGTGGTCTTGTTGTAGTGGTGCTGTGGTGTACTGTGGTTGAGGTGGTGCTGTGGTGTTGTTGTTGTGGTGCTGTGTTGTGGTGGTGCAGTGTTGTGGTTGAGGTGGTGCTGTAGTGGTGTTGTGGTTGAGGTGGTGCTGTGTCGTGGTTGAGGTGGTACTGTGTCGTGGTTGAGGTGGTGCTGTGTCGTGGTTGAGGTGGTGCTGTGTTGTGGTTGAGGTGGTGCTGTGGTGTTGTTGTAGTGATGTTGTGTTGTGGTTGAGGTGGTGCTGTGTTGTGGTTGAGGTGGTGCTGTGTCGTGGTTGAGGTGGTGCTGTGGTGTTGTTGTAGTGGTGCTGTGGTGTTGTTGTGGTGGTGCTTTGTTGTGGTTGAGGTGGTGCTGTGTCGTGGTTGAGGTGGTGCTGTGTTGTGGTTGAGGTGGTGCTGTGGTGTTGTTGTAGTGGTGCTGTGTTGTGGTTGAGGTGGTGCTGTGTTGTGGTTGAGGTGGTGCTGTGTCGTGGTTGAGGTGGTGCTGTGGTGTTGTTGTAGTGGTGCTGTGGTGTTGTTGTGGTGGTGCTGTGTTGTGGTTGAGGTGGTGCTGTGTCGTGGTTGAGGTAGTGCTGTGTTGTGGTTGAGGTGGTGCTGTGTTGTGGTTGAGGTGGTGCTGTGATATCTTGTGGTTGAGGTGGTGCTGTGTTGTACTCGAAGTGCTGCTGTGTCATGGTTGAGGTGATGCTGCGTTCTGCTATAGCTGAGGTGGTGCTGTGTTGTGTTGTAGTTAAGTGGTGAGCTGTGTTTCTTTTGAGCTGGCGCTTTAGCTATTTGAAGTGTACAGGCTGCTGGAATATCAGCACCCTGCAAGTTACGGGCTGTGTGGTTCATTAGGTAGGTTAGTGTGATGTGATATATTGACATAGATTAATGCGTGGTGTGGTTATTTTAGTTAATGTTTTGATGACGATTGATTGCATTGTTTAATGTTCTGTAGTGGTCTAGTAAAATGTTGAGTGACTGTATCATATAATTTTGACTTAAAACTTTCGTGACTGCACCAATTAATATTCTTTGGTTCTTTCGGTAAAGTCACGTAGATAGAAAAATAAAAGTAAATAAAATAATAAAAAGCCCACATTATTTAATTATATAATTGCATTATTGCATTACTTACTTGTATTTTCTATCTACGTGACTTTACCGAAAGAACCAAAGATTATGAATCGTATAATGTTGTGTAATGTGTGTAATGTTAATTCACGACCCTCTCTCACCTAACTCACTGCCCTCTCTCGCTAACCTTTCCGACTGAAAAAGATCATACTTGTCTCACCAATATGCAGGCATTACACCTCACTTTGGTGGGAAGTGCTGTCACATACGCACCACATGTACCAGCAGACAAAGGCTGCACAAATCATGCGGTGGATTTGGTTCCACAGATTCACAATTGGCAATCTGATAAAAGTGCCGAAACCAAATGGAATCAATTTGCATTTCTCCCATTCGCAGTAGGTACTGTGTGTGGATCATTGGGGTAGGTGAATGCTGCATGGTTTATTGGGGTAGATGGATGCTGTGTGGTGCATTGGGGTAAGTGGATGCTATCTTACTCATTGAGCTAGTCGGATGGTTGATGGTTTAGTGGATTCGGTGCATGCAGCAGGGTAAAGTGGATGCTGTGCTGTCTGCTCTCGCTCGGAATACAGGTTGCTGGGTTTGCAAGCAGCGCGTGTGAAACGTCTCAGGGAAGAATACCAGCTGGAGGTGTCTGCCCTCAAGGAGGAGTTTGACAGTGAGAGGTGAGTGGGGCTATGGGGAAACAAACTAAACCCAATCTTGATTTGAAGCTTTCTTGACTTCAGGGATCCATACTCTTTGGTTCTTTTGGTAAAGTCACGTAGTTAGAAATAAACAAAATAAAACAAATCACAACGTTTCAATCGCCACACAAGCAATCGTCATCAGGTGGGACAACCAAAGCAATTGCTTCTTGCTGTGGTTGTCCCACCTGATGACAATTGCTTGTGTTGCGATCGAAACGTCGTGATTTTTTTTTTCTAACTACGTGACTTTACCGAAAGAACCAAAAACTAAACCCACACAGAGAGCTCTGAGACAAGCGCTAACCTCCACCTCTTATCATTGATATGGCGACGATAATGATGGTGTGATGGTGACAAACATTGGTCTGAACATTCAGAAGTCTAATATTGTCTGGGATTTGTCATATAGAAGGCTTGTTTACACCTACTGTAGCGGACAGGGCCACAAGTGGAGTGGGATAGGATTTAAAACTAAAAGTGTCGGTATTCCAGTGAGTAGTAGTGTCAGTAAGTGTTAGTGACAGTGGTGGTGGTGTCAATAATAGCCATTTCAGAGAGTGGTGTCAGTAATTATTGTCCCATTGAGTTTAATTTCAGATACAGGTGCCAGTGAATGCATTTTCAATGACTTGGGTGTCAGTAGTTGTCTGTCTTAGCATGTGGTGTTAGTGAGTGAGGTGTCAGTGGTTGGCTGTGTCAGCATGCGGTGTTAGTGAGTGAGGTGTCAGTGGTTGGCTGTGTCAGCATGTGGTGTTAGTGAGTGAGGTGTCAGTGGTTGGCTGTGTCAGCATGTGGTGTTAGTGATTGAGGTGTCAGTGGTTGGGTGTGTCAGCATGTGGTGTTAGTGAGTGAGGTGTCAGTGGTTGGCTGTGTCAGCATGTGGTGTTAGTGAGTGAGGTGTCAGTGGTTGGCTGTGTCAGCATGTGGTGTTAGTGAGTGAGGTGTCAGTGGTTGGCTGTGTCAGCATGTGGTGTTCGTGAGTGAGGAGTCAGTGGTTGTCTGTCTTAGCATGTGGTGTTAGTGAGTGAGGTGTCAGTGGTTGGCTGTGTCAGCATGCGGTGTTCGTGAGTGAGGTGTCAGTGGTTGGCTGTGTGAGTGGCAGCAGCAGCGGCACGTGGTATCAGCATGCGCAGTGGTGAGCACGTGTGCACGTGCCGTGTGCTGCAGGGAGCTCATTGTTCAGCAGCACGCCCACGAGATATCGGACATCAAGGACATCCTGTTCGCAATGGAGGAGAATTTTGCAGAGAAGGAGAAAGAGGCACTGCAAGAGTTCCACAGCTCAATGGATGAGATCAAGAACGACGTGGGTTTGATTCACTCACACACGCAGTGCAGTTATAGCCCGAGGTGCAGAAACAGCTGCGGTGGAAACTGAGCCGTACTTCTGCTTTAAATCCAAACCAGTGGCTAAATCAGCCCCGAAGTTCACCCTTTTCACATAAAAGGATAATCGTTTTTCAAAAATATGAATCGGCTGTATCTGGATACTGGGATGATTTGGTGCTAAGTATGGTGCATGGAAAAGTCCTCATCCAACAGTGGATAGACAGAATGGTTGTACATATGCACCTGGGTTTATTGGGTATTTGACTCTAAAACTTGAATGCTGAGTTAATTGAATTGGGTGGTGAGTTTATTGGGTATTTGGTTGACTTCGTACTGAGTTGTTTGGGTAATGAATTGATTTATGATTTTATTGAGTGCTTGGTTAATTGGGTGTTCCTATTCATAATGTATCAGTTCCTGGGTACTGGGTTGGTTTGGGTTTTAGGTTGAATGGGTTAATTTGCTACTGTGTTAAACCACTGGGTGCTTATATTTGATTGATTATCCACCGAGTTTTGGATTGTGTGCTGGTCATAGTACCAAGGTCTTGTGTTGATGAGTTGATTGCTGGGTTCATTGTTCACTGGGTGCTGTGTTGATTGCGTGCTGGCGGACGTATCACGGTCCGTTGTCGATCTTTGGCCTGGCGTTGGTGCAGGTTCTCGAGGAGAAGCAGGCGTTGCGCGTACAGCTGGAAGGTGCTGTGGAGGCCCTGTGGCGCCAGTTCCAGGTGGCGCTGCAGCAGTACACGGATGCCACGGAGGAGCGGCGCATCGCCTTCGATGCCCTGAAGACACGCGACGAGAAGAGTGCTCGTGAGATTGAAGCTCAGGCGCGCAGGTTGCAGCGTCTACAGGTGCACATGAATAATACTCGTAATAATTTACATTTATCAGGCGCAATTCATCCAGGGATCTCAGTGTGCCATGATCGAAGTTAAGAAATATAAATACTACAAAGTCCAAAGTCCTCTGGTCATACATGGGAAGTGTAGGTCTGCAGGTGAAAAAGGTGAGTCTTTAGAGAAGATTTAAACTGGGCGTGCGAGCTCACCTATCTAACCACTGGTCGGAGGGCATTCTGTGGTCTTGGCGCTGCGCGTGCCAAGGCTCGCTCACCCCAGGTGCAGGGTCGAGTTCTCGGCACATGGAGCAGATGTTAATCAGCGGATCAGAGAGGTCGTGACGGTACATGCAGGCGTATCAGTTGTTGAATGTAAAATTGTGTGAGACCATTTAAGGCCTTGTATATGAGCATCAATACTTTAAATTGTACCCAAAATTTAACTGGAAGCCAAAGCAGAGATGTTATTATAGGGGAAATGTGCTCACGGTATGAGGTTCGCGTGAGTATCCTGGTGGCCGCGTTCTGGACCAGCAGCAGTCGGCCCGTGACAAACAGTTCCCTCCTTCATGTATAATGGATCATTGCCACAAGGCTTTTGCAATACACGTTACAGCAGACGATAATACTTGCAATAAAATAACGCTACAGGTAGCCTTTGGCATCCAGTGAATTTGTGTAAACCGTCATAGCCAACTACCTTAACATAGTGTTTAGATTTTACACTTTCCAATATTCTACAAAGGTATGTTGCACAAATAACCAGTAGTGGGCTTAACTTGCTGGCTTTCATGTCAAACTCATTAGGAGGATAATGACTTCGTTCACTGATAATGTCGATTGTGTATATTTTAGGGGTCCATCACTTAACCTAAAGCAATACAGAACTTTAGGCTGGCCTTCATCTGTAGATTAAAGCAACGAGACTATGAGCTGTAATTTCTAGGGGTCTAAATGCAAAGATATGTAAGTTTGTTTGTACCAAATTTCCACTTTTAATCCTCTTCGAACATCCACATAATTAGTAATTCCGTGACAGTGATTTATATTTATGTAAAATAGTTTCCCTTGTTATTCAGTCTATATCAATATCAGCATATGGCTGGTGTTGCACTGATTCATTTAATATTCAAAGTCGACTGAATCCTCTGATCCTCATCTTGTCACTGACCTGGTGTTGTACGCATTCCCTTGATACTCCTTTCGGACTCTGAACCGTGCGGCTGTTTTCACTGTGTTCATGCGCCCGTTCCGTTGCTCGTGCCGCGCATGCTGGCCTAGGACTCGATGGCGTCCGTGCGCGCACGCACATCGGCGCTGGCGCGCGAGTGCGAGGAGCGGAACCAGCGTCTGCGCGAGGAGCGAGCGGCGGCGCGGCTGCACGCCCTGCAGGGCAAGGGGGCGCTGGGGGAGCAGCGCTCGCGGGAGCGCAAGCGCCTCGCAGTCCTGGCCGAGCACAGCCACCGAACCAACGCCGTCCTCAACACGGTGCTGCGGAAGGCAGGCACTGCACACTCATGCACAACAACAAGCACAGCGACGACTACCGTTCACCACCAAGTGGCAGTGATGTCACCGCGGCGCTTGTGCCAGGCTGTACGCACTTTGAGACCACGTGAAGTGTCGAAGGCTCGTTGGCAGGAGGTCACAGGACAGACCCAAATGCCATGGGTTGACTGACTGAGATGACTGGCACCATCAGTGCCATTTTTCTGTGGTTTAGCCGCCTGGTGCTCCGCTCTTTGCTGTGAGCGTCGCTCCTCTGCCCTCTGCTGTTGTTGCAGGGTGACTGCCTCCAAATACTCACTCAAATAGACATGTACAGCAACGCGCATGCACTCGGACAAATAATCTCTCGTGTAGCCATATAGGCTGTCGGGGCAGGTGCCGTTAATAAACACCTACTAAAGCTGAGAGGGTTTTGTGGCCAACATCACTCCCATCCGCCTTTGACTACCCAGTGATGATGTTTACACACCGCACCAGGTACTCACTTAAGACTAAGTGCAAAACTCGGGTGTCCATGACGAGTTTAGTTACTTGTCACCGATGTTGGTCATGTTCGAGAATCAAACTCCAGATCGTCTTTGTCGATGCGTCTCTGAGTCCAGTGGTGACTCGTGCGCCTCCCGTTCCCTAGAGTCAGGTTTCCGAGCTTGAGGAGGCTCGCACAGGTGGCCGATTCATGATATCTCGATGCAGGCTGAGCAGGTACTGAAGATGGGGGAGATTTGCCGGCGTATGGAGACCGAGCAAGAGAAGGTGCTGCCCTTCCCGCCCAGCGCCCTGACCCCTGAGGAGCAGCGCGACGTGGACACCCAGCTGGCCCAGACGCCCACCCAGCAGCTCTCGCAGGTACTGCACGGCCAACCACGTGCCATCGAGCATCCCTCTATGCCGGTGTTCAAGAGCCGCATGGCTCACAGGGCTATACCTATTCTTGGTTCTTTCGGTAAAGTCACGTAGAAGTGAGACAATAAAATAATAATATAAAAAAATAAAATTCTCACGACGTTTCGACTGCAACACAAGCAATCATCATCAGGTGTGATAATTGTATTGTTTTTTTATATTTTTAGAAAATATATTTTATTATTTTATTGTTTCCCTTCTACGTGACTTTACCGAAAGAACCAAGAATATGAATCCCTGCAGTCACGAAAGCTTTAAATCAGGGCTATACCTAATAAATGAAACTGTGTTCATATTCTTTGGTTTTATTCGGTAAAGTCACGTAGGTAAATTAAAACAAAATAAAAGAAAATCACGACGTTTCGGAGGCAACACAAGCTTCCGTCTTCAGGTGGAAAAGTCAACGCAGAATACCTGTGTCAGGAGCACAATTCAGAGACGGGGATTATATACAGGTTTAGGGAGGGGGGAGGAGTCAGTAAGGGGGCGTGAGTGGGTGGTAGGGCCGGGCTACGCATCCTGTTGAAAGAATGCTGTGGGTAACACCCACTTCTCAAAGCTCACATCAAAGGGCTCCCCGATGCGAGCTCACATCAAAGGGCTCACATCACGCCCCCTTACTGACTCCTCCCCCCTCCCTTAACCTGTGCGTGAGCTCGCATCGGGGGCTCTTTGATGTGAGCTTTGAGAAGTGGGTGTTACCCGCAGCGTTCTATCAACAGGATGCGTAGCCCGGCCCTCCCACCCACTCACACCCCCTTACTGACTCCTCCCCCCTTCCTTAACCTGTATGTGAGCTAGCATCAGGGGCTCTTTGATGTGAGCTTCAAGAAGTGGGTGTTACCCGCAGCATTATTTCAACAGGATGCGTAGCCTGGCCCTACCACCCACTCACGCCCCCTTACTGACTCCTCCCCCCTCCCTTAACCTGTATATAATCCCGGTCTCTGAATTGTGCTCCTGACACAGATATTCTGCGTTGACTTTTCCACCTGAAGACGGAAGCTTGTGTTGCCTCCGAAACGTCGTGATTTTCTTTTATTTTGTTTTAATTTACCTACGTGACTTTACTGAATAAAACCAAAGAATATAAATCCTTGCAGTCACGAAAGGGCTTCAAATCTAGAATGAAACTGTGTTATTCATTGCAAGGCCCACTGCGGCCACTGGCGGCCCCCTGACACCCCATCATCATCGTGCTGTCAAACCCCAAAGGTTTCAAATGTGTGGCGGCCCTCACACCTATGATGTTGTATAGGCGAAAGTAGCCCCCCCCCCCCCCCCCCCCCTCTGAAAATTAGTGAAGAACACTGGCCTATACGGAGAGAATACCTGGCTGCCTTCGTCTGCCTCGTGCTGGTCTTCCTGATCGGATCATTCAGGCTTAACCAAAAATGTATTTTCATACAGTTATTTAGCAACATTTTACCAACGCAAAGCGTTTCAACACTTTCGTCAAGATGTTCATCGGGCCCCGAAGGAAACACAACCCAAAGAGCTAATTTCTCCCTTCTTACAGAAATCTACCAAAGCTGTGTGTCCCGGAATGTCACAAGTTGGAAACTTCTTCATGAGAAAAAAAAAACATTATGACCAGGTTCTCCGTTATGCAGCTATAGTAACGCTTCCCCGTTGTTATTAAAATATATGGGAGTGACTTCAAAGTAATGTAACTTGTATGCTGTGCTCAACTCTAAATACCCAATACACCCGCAATAACAATACATACACGCATATTACATACACCCATACATACAACATATATCAGGTGCAATTACAACGTTTATAGAATGGTTAAACAGTGGGACCCTGACTGTCTTACAGATAAATAGAAGGAAGTTATGTATGGCCCTATTAAACACTTTACAGCCCAGCAGGTGAGTGCAATTAAAAACAGGAAGTGGAGTACAGTCGGTTTGAACACAGGGGTGGCATTCTGCTACAGCTGTACCATACAGCAAATAATGATTTAACAATAATGCATCAAAGAGCGCTGTACTCTAAAATAGTATAGTGCACGTCCAATTTAATAGGCAGAGGAGGCCTACAACTACGATATTGAGAATGTTATCCTGGGCGCTGCAGGCGAATGCTCCATGCCAATGTGTTGAGGCATGGTCTGTGCGTGCATCACAACCTGGCACAGCACACAACAAGAGCAGCCAAAGATTAAAAAAATCACAGTAGTCCGAGGCCTGGCTCTGGATTCCAGCGATATATGCTCCGTGCAAAATTGTGTTGTGCTTCGCCCAACAGCCTTCTTGTGCACATGAGAGCAAAGCAGTGTTGTTTTGATTAAATAAGAAACATTTTGGTGTAATAAAAGCAGATTACAAACTTATCGCTAAACTATTACGGGTGTATAAAATTCTACGTACGTTTTGACCGGACCTTTTTATTCATGCAATGCATGGGGTGGTCTCGCTGCCGCAGGTCGCAGCGCGGTACAGCTCGATGGAGCGCTTCTGGTGCCGCTACAACAAGGTGCTGCTGGAGCAGCTGGCTCTGGAGCACGAGCGCGATGCCCTGCAGCGGGAGAACGGGCGCCTGCGCCGTGCGCTGCAGCTCTACCTGGAGGGACTGTCGCTCGGAGGAGATGCGCCAGCCCTCGCCACCGCCACTGCCGCCACCCCGATTGTGCCCGTCGGTGACGCGCGCGTGCGACGGCCCAGCTACATGGTCGTCATCGAAGCGGCGCACGTCGTGAAGCACCTCGTGCCGTCCTGAGCGATGGGCGCGCTGGCGCGTGATGGGAGTTTTTGCGCGGTAGGAAGGAGTGTGGGTGAAGCATGACTTTGCCGCACTGAGATCGGCAAGACAAATACCATTTTCAAGTGTATTTCTAATACTAACCTTTAAATAATAACTATACAAATGATATTTCTTTATCCATCCGTAACACTGAGTATAATTTTTAGGATTTTCTTTGTTTCCTTGTTTATATGAAGGAGAAAAATGGAGTAGCCAGAGACAATCCAAGCATACAAGCAGTTGACACTACAAAAGTTTACAGACCGGTGAGTGACCAATTCGCTAAGTTGCTATCCGATGGTCACCTCACGGCCCAATATATTGCAAATCTCCGTCACATGATGTACACTTTAAACCACACCTCCGATTAGCACGGTTGGCTACGCATGGTGCAAAACAAGTTCAACATACATATGTGGTCCTAAAGGCAGGGATGGGGAATCTAAGGCCCACCAGCTGGATACAATCTAAATTTGAAGTTTTCGTGACTGCAATGATCCATACCCTTTGGTTCTTTCGGTAAAGTCACGTAGGTGACAATAAAAAATAAAGTTAATCAAATCACGACGTTTCGGAAGCAACACAAGCCTCCGTCATCAGGTGGGATAGTCACAGCAGGAGATGCGAAACGTCGTGATTTGATTACTTCTTGCTGTGACTATCCCACCTGATGACGGAGGCTTGTGTTGCTTCCGAAACGTCGTGATTTGATCAACTTTATTTTACCGAAAGAACCAAAGAGTATGGATACAACCTGTGACTTAGTTTCATATGGCTCATGGTTACATGAGGCATCCTGCTTCGAAACGGTCTGCAAACAATATTTATCCATCACTGCAGGCATCTCTGCCAGACTAATCGGGTATTAAAGAGGAATATTTTCAACCCTGTCAACACTGTATTTGTAACTTGAGCATGCTCAGTCACCTGTTGTCTTGTGGATCTGAGTACACAATCGATGCATAAAGTAAACATTTTGTGTCAAATAATTTGTAGCCCACCAAGGATAGTTGTAAGTCCCATTCGGCCCTCAAGAAAGAAAATCTTCTCGACGCTTGGGCTCGGGGTTGAGAGTGCAGCTGAGTTGGCTAGGGGTTGAGAGTGCAGCTGAGTGGGCTAGGGGTTGAGAGTGCAGCTGAGTGGGCTAGGGGTTGAGAGTGCAGCTGAGTGGGCTAGGGGTTGAGAGTGCAGCTGAGTTGGCTAGGGGTTGAGAGTGCAGCTGAGTTGGCTAGGGGTTGAGAGTGCAGCTGAGTTGGCTAGGGGTTGAGAGTGCAGCTGAGTTGGCTAGGGGTTGAGAGTGCAGCTGAGTTGGCTAGGGGTTGAGAGTGCAGCTGAGTGGGCTAGGGGTTGAGTGTGCAGCTGAGTCGGCTAGGGGTTGAGAGTGCAGCTGAGTGGGCTAGGGGTTGAGAGTGCAGCTGAGTTGGCTAGGGGTTGAGTGTGCAGCTGAGTGGGCTAGGGGTTGAGAGTGCAGCTGAGTGGGCTAGGGGTTGAGAGTGCAGCTGAGTCGGCTAGGGGTTGAGAGTGCAGCTGAGTGGGCTAGGGGTTGAGAGTGCAGCTGAGTTGGCTAGGGGTTGAGAGTGCAGCTGAGTTGGCTAGGGGTTGAGAGTGCAGCTGAGTGGGCTAGGGGTTGAGAGTGCAGCTGAGTGGGCTAGGGGTTGAGAGTGCAGCTGAGTTGGCTAGGGGTTGAGAGTGCAGCTGAGTCGGCTAGGGGTTGAGAGTGCAGCTGAGTGGGCTAGGGGTTGAGAGTGCAGCTGAGTTGGCTAGGGGTTGAGAGTGCAGCTGAGTTGGCTAGGGGTTGAGAGTGCAGCTGAGTGGGCTAGGGGTTGAGAGTGCAGCTGAGTGGGCTAGGGGTTTAGGGTGCAGCTGAGTGGGCTAGGGGTTGAGAGTGCAGCTGAGTTGGCTAGGGGTTGAGAGTGCAGCTGAGTTGGCTAGGGGTTGAGAGTGCAGCTGAGTTGGCTAGGGGTTGAGAGTGCAGTTAATTGAGAGCATAGTTGAGAGCGTCAGTAAATTCCCTTCCCTTGAAGGACATATTTGTATATAATTTGAGTAAATTGTACATAATATCTCACGCACATGATTTCAATACTTACATTGCAAGCATAACAATCTATTATCATCAATAAACCCATATGTTCTGCTTCCTGACTGTCAGTGTAATCCGATTATTCTTGCTTCTTTGCACACTTTTTAGCTATCGTTCCATTTCATTGGTGAGCGTGCATGTTTCCAAAGTTCTGAACTTGGCCTAGTGGCAGTGCGTTCGCAGCTTGTTGCTGAAGTTTGCGGTTCGAATCCAGCGTCTGCCCTGGTTAAAATACTGTGGGTGAATTAACTGTTAAAATAGTGCCATCTGCTTCACAGTGGCCTACAAAGGTCCCCTTGTGTTATTTACAAAAATGGCCCATTGTGCGCCGGCGTCATGGTCTAAATTTGCCAAATGAAAAAAAATACCCGCAAATCACTCAATTAAAAATATGCACAGGAGTCGTTGGCCCTTACTGCAAACAACTTGGCAGGTACTTCTTTCAAAATAGTTGAGAGTCTTCATTTGGTACACAAATGCTTGCTTTTCGATCACATGCATCTAATCCAGCACTGTGAAGGCGAGGTCTGGTGGATCACACAAATGTTGTGAAACTCTCTTCCCTTGGGTGTCCAGGTGCCATGCCATACCCTGGCTCGCAAGGTGAAGGCAGTACAGAAAGTGGACTAATCGCCATCTGTTTCTATCTGTAAGGGGATATAATGTTACCCCTCTCACGTGGGATTTTCAAGATGCTCCGGTTTCCTCCCAGACGTATAAATGCTAATTGGTTGAAAACATAAAATAAACAAATGAGTCCTGTGTCTCAGTGTGGCGTTTCTGGATAAATAATTAAATGCATGAAGTATAATGTAAATGAGTGGCTAGAGAGAACTCTTGCCAGTGAAATCCATTGCCCGCCAAGTTGCCATAGTCGCGCATGGTTAATTCATTGCTAGCGACTTGCTGGCAGAAAATTGCCCTAAAATGGCATTGGTCATTTAAAAATTGCGCATTAGCTATTCTGTCTCCACACCGCACCATACCCCTACTTGATAGGCCCTGGATTATTGCCAAGTCTGCTTATAAAAAGTGGAATTTGGCTTATTTAAAAAAGTCTTTTTCATGTTTTGAGAGTCGCGGGTTGCGTTTTTTTTGCCTTCTTTGCTTTGGTTTAAGAAGATTGGCCACAAGGCGTTTTGTCTCAAGCTGGGATATACTTCGACGTTTCAACACTGAAATGTACCTCATTGAGGCAACAGGCACCACAGAGAATGGAGAAGAGCGAGGATTATCTTTTTCACCATGTAAGTGCACACAAATACATTATTTTAATATGTTTAATGCGTAAATTAATGTATGCTGCAAATCGAAAACTACAAAAAATAATTACAATTGTATAAACACCTCCCTCTGAATTCGGTTGGGCTTGTTTTGAAAGACAGCCGCTTTTTTAATCTTGAACAAAGACGGTCAATGCATCGCGCGTTTTCAGATGCGCTTCTGCGGCAGTCTGGAATGCTCTTCCGATATTAGGACGCCACTGGGGCTATGCAATTAAATTATCATCTAGATTGAAAACTCATGTATTTATAGCTGCTTTTTGTGTCCTGCCCCCGCACCTCCGATAAGCACGGTTGGCTACGTACGGCGCGAAAGAAGTTCAACACGTGGCAACATTTAGGCCCTCTCCAGTCCCCACAATAATTAACAAACTTTTAAAAGAATAAAAGTTTATGTTGCATAATGATTGATGGGCAGGACCTTGATCCCTAGTAGGTAAATTGCGCAGGCCAAAATATACCCTATTTCCGAGTCCTTACGGAATTTACATGACCCCACAAACAGCCTGGCCTAGAGGAGGGCAGTCTGCACACAAACGCCACCCTCCCTCAGTGGTTCGCTAGGGAGGTCACCTCTGCCTTGTACTTCCTCAACAGATGGCACATTAGTCAGCCACTCTCAGGGGGAGGCTTCTTCCTCCAATATTTGAGGCGCAGCAGCTCTAATTCTATGACGTGGGATGTTGTGGACGGTGGCAATGAGCTTGTCGCTTTCTCTCCGTTCACCGCAACACCTCCGTCAGCGAGGATCTCTGGGAAGGTCTGGACTGCATATCCAATGCAGCTATTGTAGCACATGAATCACAGTCCTGAACATCAACCATTTCCCCTCGGGATCAGGAGGACGATGCCAACACCAGTTGCAAGCGATGATGACATTCTCGCTTGCAACTTTCAACAGCTAGCCGAGACCAGGCTATTGTGGGTTGGAATGAGGTCCTAGGTGGATGCCCACCACCGCAGTGGAAGAATGGCAGGCTTATTTCACAGATGGCAAGCCAATGATCAGTGGACAGATGAGCTCCACAGTAGTTCCTGGTGTCAAGGAATCAGAAATATACATTATCACAAACACGCAGAGACACTATCACAAACACACACTCAGACACACGATCACATACAAAGAAATACACCATCTGCCCAGTAGTGTCCTTCACAAGCCTTCTCTATCGAGGCCGATCTTGACACTGCTGGTACCAGTCTTCGGCAAGTCTACTCAGCTCCACACCCTTCTATTACCGCATTAGCCCATCTCTTATCTAACCCGTGCCGCGCCTATTTAGTTCCCTCTAACTGGCCAAACAGAAGTTGCTTGTGCAACACAGCCTGGTTGCAGGAGTTCTCCAATGGGAATGTGTCCAGATCTTTCAAGAATTTGTGAGCTTCTTACAGGATCCAGCCTGGTTAAACCCAGTATGGATTGTAGGCAGGCCAGCCTGAATGTTTCAAACTGCCGAAGAGCTTCCTTTAGAGGGTTCCACGTTTAGCAAGCATAGAGAAGGGAGGGCATAACTGGCCGAGAAGACCTGAAGATTTGTGTGGAGCGCCAGACCAGGTAGCTTCCAAAGAGCATTATGCAGCTGATGAAAGGATAATGCTGTTCGACTGATTCAGGGTGAGACTTCTGCTGCAAAATCAGAGCTGGTCATAAGCACACTACCCAGGGATGAAAATTTCTCCACTCAATAACTGCCCCGTCACTCATGGGTAGTTGGGGAGTGGAGTTTTTGATAACACAAATACCCATACTCTCTGGTTCTTTCGGTAAAGTCACGTAGATAGAAAAAATAATAAAATAAAATAAAACACGACGTTTCGGTCGCAACACAAGCGTCCAGCAGGTGCTTAGTTTTTGGTTGGGCTAGTGGTAAGGCCTGGCAAACACATCAAAAAATAACAACAACCACCATTTGCCACTAAGTGGCGGTGACGTCACCACGACGCTTGTGCCAGGCTATGTGCACCCTGAGGCCACGTGAAGTGTCGAACGCCCGCTGGCAGGTCACGGGGCAGACCCAGGTGCCACGGGTCGACTGACTGAGATGACTGGCTGATGCACCACCTGTGCCCCCTACTGTGCCAACCTGCTGTGCTTTAGCCACCCGGCGCTCCGCTCGTTGTTGTGAGCGTCGCTCCTCCGCCCTCCGTTGTTGTTGGAGGGCGACTACCTCCAACTGCCCAGTAGCATCCTTCACGAGCCTCCTCCACAGAGGCCGATCTTG